TGGTGGTGATGGTAGTGGTAGTAAAGTGTACCATACCCACTGATAAAAATGGAGTGGAGAGGAGGTTATGGAAATAGAGAAAAGGAATGGACTTTCACAAAGCAAAGGCTTCATGCCTAACTCTGATAATGAGGAGACAAGATAAGCAAGTGAAAACTTAGCACTTGGCACACAGCAGACAGTTGCTTGATAAAATATTTAGCAACAATGACATTATCTCCTCAAGGTGAAAGTATTTTAAGTATGCTTGGCCTCGAAAGTCCTTAACCAGGGTTCAGATTTAATATGTAGAGAGAAACATACTCAATGTGACAAATATTTTCAGTACCTTTTAAATGTAAAAGCTCTGTGGCTATTACAAAAAAGGGAGAGAGAAAGAAATTTCTCCAGAATATTTTCTATGTGCAACATGACTACATATAAATGTTCTCTCTCATTTAATCCTTAGGGCAGCCCTGTGATAGACACTATCACAGATTGAACTGTGTCCCCCAAAAGGATATGTCAACTTGATTAGTCCATGATTCTCTGTGGTTTGGCATTTGCGTGAGTAATGATGTAATCATACCCCATGATGTGATCTGATGTGACAACAACAATAGTAAAAGCTTAGATTGCTCTGAAGAGATTGTTGGTGGAATTATAATGACAAAGGCAACTCTAGTGAGGGATGAGAAGGAGCTAAGAAGAACTGTAACATCACAGATGGCGCAGAAGACAAGAAGTAGTGGCAGAGATAAGTCTGCAGCAGAACTAGGAAACTGTCACTGGATGACACAGGAGCTAAGCAAGATAACTGAGTGTCTTCGGGCAAGAGGTTTCCAGGTGGAGTTAGTACCTCTGGGCACTTGTTGACTGAGCAAGGCCTGTCAACCCAAAGAAGGAAACAGCTTTGGGCCAAGGCTTACTGGTGGACTGGGGTACTACTGGGCACTTACTGGTAGAGCTAAAGAGCTTTGTAACACTTGCCTGAGCAGGACAAGGGGCCAAGAGGTAAAGGAACCAGGAAGCATAAACTAGAGACAAGGAACATGGGAACTAGAGACAAGGAACAAGGAACAAAGCTGCTTTGACCTTAAAGGGTAGGGCCACAACCTCTAGTATCTCAAAGGGTAGACCCATGGTCAACTGGGACTTCAAAGGGTGGAACTACAGCCTTCTAGGTATCAAAGAGTCAGATCTTTACCAATTAGATTCCATACTGTGGGGTTACCATTCATGAGTGCCATGGGGATAGGGCTGGATCTGCTGTCCAAAGCTGAAGGGGTAAGGTGTCAACCCTAAAGGACAAAGAATAGGGTCTGCCAGAGCTAAGGGAGTTGGGGTTGCCACTGAGTTATCCTAGGAGAATGGAGCCGCCCAAAGTCAAAGGAGTAGACCTGCCTAGCAGGCAGAGCTGAAGCCAAGGGCTTCTCTACCAGGCCACTGCAAGTGAGGAATTATTATGTGCCATCAAGTCAGTTCAGACTCAGAGTGAACCTGTATAAGGTTCCCAAGGCTATAAATCTTTGCAGGAGCAGAAAGTCTCATCATTCTCCCACAGAGTGGCTGGTGGGCTCAAACCATTGTGGTTTGCAGTCCAGTTCATTCATCCTATAGAACCACTACATTCCCCATATGTATATTACATTTCTAAAATGAAAAATAATCAGTGCATCAGTGTCTCCCTTCACTAACACATGAACTCTTTGAAGGCAAAGAGTTTTGTTGATATTGTACCTCCAGAGCATAAAACAGAATCCTGGTGTGGTGTTGTAGGATAAACACTGGACTGTAAGGCTGGCAGTTCAAACTCACCAGTCACTCCTTGGAAACCCTATTCAGGGTTGTTGAGAGTCAGAACTGACTTGATGACCCACAACAACAGTGCATAAAATAGTGCCTAGCACATAGTAAACACTCAGTAAATATTTGCTAAATAGACATTTTAAGTCTACTGAATTCACCTGGTTCTTACTTACAAATTAACTAGTAAATATCCTGTAACATTATAAAATTTTGATTCTCTTTCATAAACTGTCCCCTTAAAAAGGGCATTTTAAACTATTTTGGTTTTAGTAAATCGAATAGTCCATGTCTAATACATTTACTTCAGGGAACATTCCACATACTAGATATTTACTAAAGGCCTAAAAAAAATTAGCACCTACCTACTCTACAAAAAATACAAAGTCTGGCTTGATGTAGAATAGAAACAACTCTTAGTGTATCAAAATCAAATATATCAGCTAGTCCCCATATATGATGTTGTAGGGTACGTGCTGAGCTACTAACTACAAGGTTGGCGGCTCAACCTCACCAGCCACTCCTTAAAAACTCCATACAGGGTTGCTATGAGTCAGAACTGACTCC